ACGGCAGGGTTTTGGTAGTGGAGGGTGTTACAGGGGTGGCTGCTGTAAGAAGCTGCTAGAAGCTTCCCGTGTGCCCAATCAATGCCAGCGGGCTACAAGATGGACCCACTGCTGGCCAAGGCTGAGTCCATCAGCAACAGTGGTAGCACCTCTGGGATAATGTGTTTGGAGAGCTGGGGGGAAAACCAACTGCAAAATCGAGCAATTTCAGCCAGGATAGAGAATGGAGACTATTGTGAGGGCAACAGCTCGTAGGACACCCAGGTCAGTGGAAAAGGAGGGGCAGGAGGTGCTCCAGGCGCTGGAGTAGAGATTCCCTGGCAGCCCATGGTGCAGCCCATGGTGAGGCTGGCTGTGCCCTGCAGCCATGGAGGGTCACGGGAGCAGAGACCCCCCTGCAGCCCAGGGAGGACCCCACGCCAGAGCAGGGGGATGCCAGAAGGAGGCTGTGACCCCCTGGGCAGCCCGCACGGGAGCAGGCTCCTGGCAGGAGCTGTGGATCCATGGAGAGAGGAGCCCAGGCTGGAGCAGGCTGCTCCTGAAGGACGGCACCCCGTGGAGGGGACCCACGCTGGAGCAGTTGGTGAAGAACTGCAGCCCATGGGAAGGACTCATGTTGGAGAAGTTGGTGGAGGACTGTCTCCCTTGGGAGGGACTCCATGCTGGAGCATGGGCGGTGTGTGAGGATCCTCCCCTGAGGAGGAAGGAGCAGCAGAGACAGTGTGTGATGGACTGACCATAACCCCATTCCCTGTCCCCCTGTGCCGTTGGAGGGGAGGAGGTTGAGACAAGGGGACCAAAGCTGAGCCCAGGAAGAAAGGAGTCTGGGAAAGGTGTTGTAAGATTTGGATTTATTTCTTACTGTCATGCTCTGATTTGATTGGTAATAATTTCCCCAAGTCGTACGTCTTTTGCCTGTGATGGTAACCGGGGAATGATCTCCCTGTCCTTAACTTGACCAATGAGCCTTTAATTGTATTCTCTCTCCCCTGCCCAGCTGAGAAGGAATGTGATAGACCAGCTTTAGTGGTCAGGTTCTTAGTGATAACCTTGACTCCTGCGTGATTGCTGCAAATGCCTAACGTTTTTCTGTGTGAAGGTTTAAATTTGTGTTATGATTGGAATGCTTCTGTGGATCAGATGGAGCAATGGATAGTGGGCATTGGTAATCAATAAGCTTTTGATTTTCAGCAAGTTCAGAAATTTATTTACTTTACGTGAGGGGAAAATAATCCTAATAAGCTTTCTTAAACTTTTATCTCTGAGATCAAAGCAAACAGCTCATTTTCCCGCTTCGCAGCTGTACTGGGTATTGTGCTGTGCTGCTTTGATTTCCCCCCCTCCAGCTGTGGAAGAATGAGTAATGCCAAAACTTACGTCTGCTTCAGTGTGCTCGGGTTTAATGAGGACTTCCCTTTTAATGTTGTTTTACGAAGGTTTGTGTGGGCTTTTAGCATGTGCGAGCTTTTTAGCTCACACGTTTCGACTGGTGTCTGCCGTGACCCCTGACGGAGCACGGACTGCAACTGTCCTCGTGGGCTTTACAGACGGATTCAAGGGGGAGGTGGGTGCGTTCCCGCTTCCTCCTCTACCCCACAAAAGGGTGGATCTTGTGTTGTGTCTCACAGAGACTGATTTAATACCTTCTTTGGCTTGAGTGCATTCAGTTTGTATCCCTTGGGCAGTGCAGGGACTCTACGTACACTTGTGTGCTTTGTGGAGGCAATGAGTAGGGAGTAGTGGAAAACCAATCCGAGTAAATATCCCTGGAGGAGGGGCTGAAACTTGGTACTCTGGTCGTGCTCCTTCTTGTAAGTGTATGCCTCTGTCCTGGAGTCCTCAGAGCAGGTGTGGGTGTTAAATATTGACTGAAATAAGTTTTATAGGATTGTCTGTTATTTCTACATCAAATACTATTAATTGGGTAGAATTGCAGTTTGTTCTCTGCTCCAAGGCAAAGTGACACTTCATACGCTCCAAATAAAATGTAGATTGGACAGAACAGCACTGAGTGTGACTCAAATCTGCTCAGTAAAGTTTTTAAATTCTACTAGTTCCTAAGTATTTAAAAAAAAAAAGTCACCTCCACATTGTCCTGTACCAGACAGACAGGGAGTTAAGTGGATTCCAGCAAAGAGCCTGTAAGATGATGGAAGAACTGGAGTCCCTTTCATATGGGAGGCTGAGAGAACTGAGACTGTTCAGTATGGAAAAGGCTCAGTGGGGAACTTTAATGTTTATAAATATCTAAAGATGTAACAAAGACAGAAACAGGCCCTTGTCCTGCTCCGTGGCAGGGCACAAACTGAAACAGGTGAAACTAATCTGAACATAAACCTTACTTGTGAGGACGGATGAACACTGCAATAGGTTGCCCAGAGAGGTTTTTAGTCCCCACCCTTGGAGGCAGCCAAGAGTTGCCTTCCGACCTCAACTGTTCTGTGATTCTGGGTATTGCTTTAAGACCTTGCAGTATGGATATGCTAACTACTGGAAAACTGAGAGATGAAGTTTGGATTTATCTTTAGCCACTTAAAAATTTGTGTAAGGTGCTAGGTAAAACATATTAACTAACTATGAGTACCTCAGTGCATGATGTCACTGCAATTCCCTATTTTAATATATTTGGCTCATAAAATAAATCATCTAGCCAATGCTTTTGAATGTCTTGGATGACTGTTGAGTCAAACAGCAATGCTCTGCTGTACTGGTGCTTTAACGGGGTTAAAAATGTCACCAGCTTGGTCTTGTATATTGTTAAGTGTGGGAAAATGGGTTTGATTGCACTTATTAAGTGATAATAGCTCCTGGTACTTCTACAATGGGAGCATTTGTTTAACACGGTCTTGCTTAACTCACCAACTGCAAAGTTGTGGAGATGGATAACAGATGCCTGTTATTTCTGTGACTGCTACCATGCCCTCTTGTCTTCTGCTGTGAAGTATAAACTGGGTGTTGCATGCTGCTGCCTAGCAGCACAGTTCTTGTGAAGAGAAAGGAAAGGGGAAAAAAGGGATGTTCTGATACTTTCACAGTACTATGAATAGAAGTACAGTTAAGGGTTGATATTCCTGTCTCACGCTTCTCAATTTTAAAGATCTGTTTTCAGACCTTTCTGCTGTAAAGGAATAACTTATGAAAATATATTTGTAGGGCAGGCTTTCCTCTTTCCTGGGAGTCCTTATCAACTGCATCCTTGATGCAACTCTTACACAGCTGCCAGGCTGGGACTTTGTACTATTTTCTGCATAAATAGCACTTCAAAAACAAATCCAATACCCTGTTCCCCTAGATGTTGGAAGGATTAGACTTAGCTCTCATGCCTGAGAGGCTCCAATACTGTACCTTTCCAGGCTACAGAATTTTGAGACAGTAGGACAAAAATGCAGATGGAGCTGAAAGGGTTCTAGGGTATATTAAAAATTCACTGATGTGCTAGGAAATCTGTTCTGAGCTTACAAAGTGTTCCCATGGAAGACAGTTATTCCTTTAGCTTAGCATCAGGGAAAATTTATGCTGGAGAACTGTTAGAGGCTTTGCTCTCTTCTAGTCAGAAGAGCAGCTGAATACTACAGAGGTGAACGACATCCTGTGGTGACTTCTTCCAGGTAAACTTCTAGTGTGAACTTTAATGCAACAAACTGCAGCTGAAATATAATGACATTAACCCCCCAATGTGTTTATCACAAACTCTGAAATGAGCACAGGAATTTCAGCATGGAAGTGCACAGTCAAGGGACAACTATTAATGAAAAGAATATTCAGGTGATTAAGAAAGGAATAAACAGCTTTAAAGAGGTTGGGATTATTTCTCTGTATGTTTTTGGGACTTCAGAAAAAAAATACTCAGTAATTTACATAGCTGATGACAGAAGTTTAAAGAAAAATGCAAACTACCGAGAAGGCTACTGAAGTTTGATACCCATCAATCTTTATTCATACTGGCCCGATTACTTTTAAGAACACCATTAAGTAGACACACACTGCCATCTAGTGAGCATCTCTAACATAGCTGCGGTTGGATTTCTGAGGAGAGGAAAATGTGTTGCTTGGAGCGAGTAACGTAACACAGTACAAAACACATACAGACTTAAAAATGCTGCACTGAATGCTTTGTCAATTGTATATTATATAATAGAGATACACAGAGCAAAGCTAAAGTATTTTATTAATAATTTATTGTCAGTAAGAAAGACTGGCTAATGGTAATTTTCAGTAAAAACCTTTACAAGACCATTGGATCACAAATATACAGACACTATAAAAACTGTGTCATGGTGGTTTTGATTCTAAACGGGTATGTAGAGGGTCCCCAACACACTTTCCAAGAAGGGAAAAAATGTTTACAGTTCTAAAATACAGCAACCCATTTAAGACATTTCCATGTAGCTGACCCAGAAAAATATCAGAGCTAACCAACCTATGTACAATTGGAATTGTGTGAATGGTGATTTTTTTTTAATCATGAAATGTCAAAACCTTATTTTTCTGAGGAAATACATACAGTGATGCCCTGATTATAATAAAGTCAGGGTGCTAGTTTTTAATGGCACACTAACACCACTAGTCTCAGTGGAAAACAAATTCACAAAATATCTACAAAATCTAGTTAAAACTGTTAAAATCAAAACTGTACATAAAATTTACAAAGTAGGAGAAAATTAATTGCATTAGAGCTATATAAATATATGCATCATGCTAACATGAAGTGGTATGTGATTTTTTTTTTAACATAGACAACGTAAGTACAAAAAGGATGTTCAGAAATGGCACAGCCCATGGAAATCTTGAAACTGTCTGATTGCAGTAGGTCAGGAAATGGAGACAGGCTGATTTAGTGAAATGAACTGTATGATCCAATGCTGCCATGCCAGTTTAGCTCACTGAAACAAAAGCATTCACTGTGGCTGGGGAAAATAAAAAGAAAATTAAAAAAGCTCTTGAAGGTTGTTCTAGATTTGATAAAGTTTGTTAGAGTCCAGGCACTTTTGTTGAGTGTGTCAGACTTCTGTATGTTGCTGGGAATCGAGTGGAGGATTTTTCACATCTTCGAAATGACCGTCGTCTCCACTCTCATAGTCACTCATCATGACTTCAGACTCCACTTCACAGCACGCTGACACATCAGAGCATGAAGCTGTGGAAGCATACACAGACATGGACATGTTGTCTACAGTGGGTGCTTCAAAGTCTCTATTGTACCCTAATGTGTAAGGAGCATAAGGTTCTCTGTAACCGCTGTTGACACCACTGGTTGTGGTCTGAGGTTCTGACATGTCTGCAGGGTAGTGATGGGGAAGGTACTGGTTAAGGTTAAATCTCTGCCTGCTTCTTGCAGAAGAACCCAAGCTACCTACAGCTGGCATGTCTCTGGGTGGCTGTATTGACTCAAACTGGTCGCTGTATTCTGGTGGTAATGGTGGAAGCTCATCAGGTGCAGGGAAGTCATCAGGTGGAGGTGGAAAATCACTTTCTATGTCATAACCGCCAGGGTAATAGTCTGTATCGATGGCGTTTGGATCCGTGTAGAGGGGAGCTGACTCCTCAACCACTTCGTAATTTGGATACTCTTGAATACCTGGCAACTGAACACTTGGCATCCAGTCTGACGTATCCCAGTGATAACCTGAAAAGTTAATTTATTTAAAGAAAAGTAGTATGAGTATCTTGTCTTCAAGTCAGTCTGACCAGAGAAGTCAACACACGTATTAAGGCAATGCAATCACTGTGATTAGGACGCTACTTGTTAATTCAAGAGCACTTTGCCCCGGTTCCACAAAAGACATTGAACACAACACAACTTTACATTATGCCATGCATTAGAATTTGCGTCATTCACACTTGAACTTTGAAATATTCTCAGACATCTCACCTAACATGGAAGAGCTGTAGGTCACCTATGGAATATGCTGTCACAATACATAATGGTATAGAATTGTTCACTGCATAGCAAAGAGCCAACAGCCTCCCTGGTGCAGCTAAATTCTTAATTGTTTTTAAATAATTACAGTTATGGTGGTAACAGCTGCCTGTTTTCCTTAAGAATGTATTTAGCACGTATAAACCATGCTTTTCTTACATAAAAGAAACAGTTTCTAATTGGTAAAGTATTCAGACCACTTAAAGCGACTTTACCGCCTAACTGAATTGTGAAGTGGATTTCACAAAATGCTGTTAGCTCTACAGTAACTGCCACACCTTTGACTATTAGTAACGACATACCACGTTCAAATACAAGAACAAAACAGGGAAAAAAGTCAAGCTTAATCATGCATAAGTGAACAAACTTCATCCTCTTTGCAAACTCCCCTTGAATAAGTTTGTATACATGTGCTGGAAACTAGATGGAAGCCTAATCTCATTAAAAAATAGTTTTTCTCATCTGAACGCCAAAAAGGAAAATAATACATAATTGTAATAAGGTGCAAATCTAGTAAAGAATAATCACTGCAGACAAATGCACAGCAAGCAACTGATAGTAAGTCTGTGTTAAAACCAAGTATTAACAGAAATACTTTGGTGAACATCAATGAACTGCATGCAGAAGTCACCTCTTGAATTGCTGAGGTCAGGAACAGGAAAAGATTCTTTAGGTGGCAGAATGAGAAGAAAAAGGAGAAAACATCTGTAGTTAGGAATCAAATAGCAGAACCAATGTGAAGATAAACAATGACTGTCACTATGATGTTCATGCTGCTTCTGTCCAGTTTACTTAGCAGTACTAAAGTTGGCCTTTTTTTTTTTCTCCTAGGCCGCTTCTATGTTAGACTTGAACAGCAGAATAGCTACTGAGTTAACGTACAGCCCACGTGGGACATGGCTGTGTAGTGGCAAAATCTACAGCCTCTAGTTTGCTGAAATCCTCTATCTGTAGATTTAGGACTTCTGCTAAAAAAGGTAACAAGACTTGATCTGAAACTTTCTCTTTCCTGGTATTCCCCTTTGTTTTTCCATATAGGGCTGCATCTATGAGGACTTACACTTTCAAGTGTCTCATACAAAGAAGGGAACTCTCCCTCTGCTATCTAGCTTCCAGATACCCTCCTCCATTTGTGCAGCCATCCCAACAACTCACGCTCAGCAGAGAACTGTCCTGTGTTAACTGACAAATATTAAACCTGTGTCTCTTCAGGAACCTACATCTCCATATCAGGTCTGTAAGGATGGGTGATGCCTATCCTATTATCCTATCTTATCCTGAGAATCGGTACTGTTATCTATTCTTGGAAGACTGGAGGGACAGAGGTCGAGTCTTGGTAGGAGGTCCCTTTTTTTTTTAGCTTGTCTAACCCACACAAGAAAAATACTGCCCACACTAAAGATGATACCACTTTGAGATCTGAAACTTTTAAACCACTAGTCTACTTAGAAGAAGACTTCTTCATTTTTCTAGGGAAACTGGGCGCAAAACTAAAGCCAATAGGCAGAATGTGGCACTTTAACTAAGGAATGGGGAGATCTTGGTCCTGTCCTCTTTCTGAGACAAAGACCCTTTAATCTGAAACACAAACTAGAACCTGATGTGCCCATCTTTCTAGGTGACAGTCTGCTAGACTGCAGCTGTATTTCCTCTTGCATTCTGCATTGTTGATTTGCACGGAGTTACAACCTTCCCTGAGGAGCAGTGCAGAGAACACAGGCCTACAACTGCCCTCGGATGAGACTAGCTACAGTTCATGCTTCCAGGACACCTGTCGGACAGAACCACTTGGGGAGACTAAAGGAAAAGACCACTTGTCCCAGAACCTGACCAAGGATCTCTGCTGCTCAAACTGGCACCCTCGAGGGTGTTCAAGAGCAGAACTCTACCTAAGATGCTCTTAAAGGAATGCTTAAGGGTAGAAACTTCCCAGTGTTAAGAAGTAGCTGAGCAGGCCATCTTTAATCTCTCTACAAATATTCTGTAATGCATAAAATATTTATCTTACAGTGACACTAAACCACCAAGCAATACATTCAACTTTGACTTGAGAACTACATCCATATTTCTTTTTTTCTACCAATTAAAATCTTAGAGAAAACCTGAGTAAATTATTAAATATTTCCCCTGATAGATTTTGCCTCTTCTAGAAGTCTTACAATTTTCCCTTTTGTGAGCACAGCGCATTACATTTTTTTAGCACTGAGGACTATGGTCTATAGGTACACATTCATTAAATACTCTTGTGTTAGTTAGAAGTCTTTGCATTGTCTACTTCTTTGTGTGTCTCCATTCATTAGACAGGATGCACTTAAAATAAAATTAATTAAGTAGCTGAAGATTCTCTTTGGCTTGTTATGTTCTTAAAATGGCTTTAAGAAATAGTAAACACATACTGTGGATGTTATTTCAGAAGTAACCTCTGCAGGCTCATGGTCATGGAATTATTCACTTGCACATTACCAGGACTTACAAATCCTTAAAGTCAATTAACAGTTAGCATCTGTATATACTCACTGGCACCTTTATTACCACTATTATTTTTTTAAAGAGTTTGTGTTTTCCAGAATGGTCAGTTCTTAAATGTTAGCAGAAAAGAAATAAAATTCCACTGAAAATGTCTGCTTCTCCTCTAACTTCCAAATACATACTACAAACACACTAAAATATATGTGTGTGTATATACATACACCCAAACATGCCTTTTAGATGCTAGTTGGCCTTAAATCAGTAAGTAACTACTTACACTGACGGGTGTGTATGCCTATGTACTAGGAATCTGATTTTTCTGCTAAAGAGACAGATTGATCTAAGGGAGTATGGATATCAGACTACTCCCATTCTGCTCAGCTGGACAAGGTGCCAACAGATGTGGGTGGGAAAGAACAGGAAGCAGGGGCTGCTGCTTTTTCATCCACAGTAGTGTATATATAATTGCCTTTGATGCTGTCTTAATTCTGCTGGGAGCTTTAGTGTGAATATTTTCAGGAGAGCATGCACCAAGATCTTTTTACGCCAATAAATTTTTTCCCAAGAAATCACACTTGCAAACCTGTCCGTAGGGTAGCAACAGCATACACATGAAAATATCGACAGATATACAATATAAATATATTATTTGCTAAAACTTATCAAAACTCCAAGTAAATAATATTTTATAACTCCCATCTGCTAGGGCTACATTACTAGAAGACAAACGTGCATTATTCTGCCAAAGCAGTAAATAAATATGAAAACTTGTATATACCTTCTTTTTCCACCGAGTCAACAACAGCATTGACAAGGTGTATTACAGTCACTACGGAAGCTTGTAAAAGGTATAAAAGGAGCAAATTAAAACAAACCTATAGTTAGTATCACTTTAAACATCATATAGAAATACAAAAACCACAGTAAAATTGCAGTTCATTTACTATTTTATAGATCAAGGTATGCCTAAACATATGTACACAAGGTGTACATATACATTTACGAACTAGAAAGCAGTTCCATATAATGCATAAAATACATCTCTAAACCTGAATTTTATTCTTGATAAACATGGAAAAGTACTTGTAACTGTTCCTGAAGCAAATTCTGCATGAGCACTAAGTTGCTTCAGTTGTGTTAGAATTTCTGAAATCTTGCCTTAAATGTACCATCATCTGGGCAGCAATAAACTAGGCTTTTCTAAAGGCTTGTGTTGGTCAAATTAAGGAGTATTGCATTAGGCTTCCCCTTCCAGACTGCAAACCTCATACCTCTCCCCCTCGCCCCCCGCCATGGAAGACCAGGGGAAGAAATTTTCACCAAAGTGAACTAAAACAATAGAATATGAAAAATATCTACTGAAAACTTCTGTTGCTGATGTACTTAGGTTGTGTGCGAACACCGGTATCACAGTAAGAATAACAAATTCAGGTTGTGAGGTTGTGACATTCTTATTTAAAAACAACCAAAACTGGTGTATTTTTTATGTCTTCCTTGGTTCCCAAGACACTTTTGGAAGGGAGAAGGATTTACTCTCATAGGGTAGAGTGAGGTAAGCACATGCAATTTATTTGCATGGCTCAGGGATTAAATTTCAAACTAAGAAATTCAGAATCTACCAAAACCAAGGAAGGAACAATATCTATGATGCTACAGCTATTTTTGTTAAAATGATGTATTAATGAGTAATCAATACATGACAAGAAATGTCAGCAAGAACAGGTGAAATGTATGGGATGCAGAGAAGGGGAGAAGAGCATGTACTGCACAACACTTAACACCACAGGAAAAAAGCTGAAAGCTGGTACCAGGCCTATTGATCAAATGATGGGCGCTGTATGCATACCATTTTACTTTCACCAAGCATTAACACAGATCTTTCTTTTCATGCTGTTAAGAACAAACCACTCTACTTCGCTGAGAAGCAGAATGTTCTTTATTCCTAAGCTAAAGGAATTTCAAATTCTTTTTTACCATACAGAGACAAAAGCAGAAATTGGAATAAAGAGGCAAAACACCTTAACTTAGTGAATTAAGTTATGAGACAACTGTAGCTTTGTCCAATCAGTCTGAAATGTTTGTGAATACACAGATGCATTCATATCAACTGTAAAAAGCATCTGTCATCACAATGGAAAAGTAAACGCCTTCCAATTAATAATAATAAAACCCACAAATATGTATGCTGATTATATTTTGATGGACTGGAGTTTTGCTCAAAATTTGTATTTTTATATTAGCTTTTTCCATTGTATGATTTTTTTTTTAAATAAATTCATTCTAATCATGGTGAAAGCCAAACACACTGTTCTACTGTAACAAAATTCCTTTTTGTGCAGCTTCCTTCATTACTAAAGTAATCAAACTTACAAGCAGTCCCTTAAACTCTGCTCTCACTCAGAACTGATCTGATCCATATGGGAGCTGAGGTCGCAGCAAGAAAAAGAGAAGGAAACAAATGAAACTGTAACACCAGAAAGCTTTTTACTGAGAGCTGAATGTCAAAAGCGAAAAGTTGTATTTGCACAGAGGCCGTTTTTTAAATTCACTGCATTCTTGTATAAGGTGAATAGAAGAGTTTCTCAAATTTGAACACACTTTTAACACCTTTTAAACACAAGGCCCTGAACACCTTGTGCTGCATTTCCACTGTTAATATTCTTGCAGTGAAATAATTTTATATATAATTTTAAGGCAAAGTAAGTAACATGAGGTGTAAGACAGGCAAAATACTTTAAAAAAATTAACATATCTGGGTATTAACCTAAGTAAATACAGATATATATTAAATAAGCCACTATTTAATATATATTCGAAATATGTGAGTCCTATTGAGACTAAGATACAGATGCAAAGACAGAACAAATGAATGCAAGCAGCAGTACAGAGTGATTGCAGTTTACATACCATTGTCATCACATGATTCAGACTGGAAGGAGCTGAGAGACTGGACCTCAGACATGCTTTCTCTAGCACTGTAAGGATGGGAGTTCTTTTCATCCAGAGGCTTTTTTGCAAGGCAGGGGTCAAGATCTACTACTTTAGCTGAAAGAAAAGGTTTCAAGTGAGACAATAAAGAGATTATTAGGAGTTAATAAAATTTAAGGCTGAGTTCTACATATTTTTACAAAACTTTGACAGAGCACGAAGCCCGAGCAGACTCACACCCCAGTGAAGTCCTAATGCTTTTTGTACCCTGACAGGCATAGACAGAGACTTTGCACTCATATTAAAATTGTACCAGCACACACCTTTATCAGAAAGGTAATAAAATAAGAACATTTCTTACTGTCATAGTCAAAATCCCAGCTGGGTTTCTGTATTGAATCACTGTCGGAAGGAGGGTTGGAGGGAGGTGGAGGTGGCAAATTTGGTGCTACGCTGCAAACAGCTACAGCTTTCCGGTGACCATGTACAGAATCTGGGTTAAAAGTACTAAACTCTGGGTGCTCGGGGATAGCAGACCCCTCAAAAGAATTCCTATCAAGATTGTTCCTGGAGTCGCTTGGAATGCTTGGAGTGTACGAAATGGGACGAACAGGAACCTGCGGTGGGATGTCAGAATAAACGTTCTTATTCAATTTTGCATCAAAATAAGGTCTTTGTAAGAAAGCTGTTGTAGCTCCCAGTTGCTTGTCTTCAGGTTCTGGCTGGTGCTTTTTCTTTCTACTGACCACTTTGCGGCAAACAACAAAAATTACAACTAATAAGAATATTCCTGCGATGAAAACAATAATTCCAATCACTTCGGCTAAGCTAATGTTCCAAGACGTTGAAACATATTTGTTAAGAACCATGTCTGTGCAGTGTTTTCCTCCAAATCCACGGCTACAGTTGCAGTGATAGGAACCATAAGTATTCTCACAGAGGGCACCGTTAAGACACGGGTTTTCTACACATTCATCCACATCAGTCAGGCACCTACCAGAAACAGCAGAGCAATGATGGTTAGTTTACATCAGTAGTCTTTGCTGTAGTCTCCCTGTTCTCAGCAGTTCTAGATATATTGAAGATACAGTATTGTACACAGATTCAGCATGGAAGAGACCTTCAGAGGTCATCTAGTCCAACCCCCTTGGCCAGAGCAGGAACACCTAGAGTACCCTACCAGGCAATTTCCTATTTTATCAACGTGACAGATTTCAACCAGTTTGATCTCTTAACCGTTAAGTAATACTGTTAAAAATTCAATACGTGTGGAACACTACCTACCTTTCTCCACGAAAGCCTGCTTCACACTCACAAACAGGTCCATCCAAACTGTCAATACACTTGCCACTGTTCTTACAAGGATTGTCTTTGCAATATGGACCCAGCTGGCACCTGCACAGCCGAAAAAACAGAAGGGGGGAAAAAAAAGGCACATGAATGAACCATTACCTTACGGCAAACGAGCATGTAGTGTGGGAATTAGGGCTGTAAGATAGGGGCTGGCATTAACTTCAGCTAACTCCAGTGGGTTTCAAAGTCTGAGCTTTAAGTAGGAAACAGATAAAAAAGAAAACAGAGGAAGTGTTACATTTACAGCCTATTCTCTAAGGGGTTTAATTGGTACAATAAACCACACCAACATACCTTTGGCCTGTATATTGTCCTCGGCACTGGCAGATAAAATCATCACTGACCGGGATGCAAGTACCACCATAAAGGCAGGGGTTGGAAGCACATGGGTTGACACTTACGTCGCAGTGAGTTCCCATAAACAAAGGCGCACACTTGCAGTAGTAACCTGAAAACAGATACAGTCTTTCTGAAAGACACACATGGCTTAACTGGATTTAAGATAAAATCCTCCCTGTCCACTTACGGATTTAAGATAAAATTCTCTCTGCCCACCTACCTGCTCAGAGAGAGGCAGGATGGGAAGAAATAGAAATATTTTTATCAAAAGATGAAGGGAAGTCTAACAGTAAGGTTTGTTTTGAATCTGATTGAAAGGTAACTTCCATTTCTCTCGCAAAACTCGAGCCTGCCACATCAATTTCAGAATTTTTAAAGGAAGATTCTGAAGTAGGCAGTTCAGAGGACAGACCTCAGATGTTGACACAGAAGATTGTGACTTTTGTGATAAGTGACTTTTTCTGTATGGACTTAATGAGTATTGTGAGCAAATAAAGAAGACCCCACTATATCTGATGGGCTTTTCCTATTTCATACCCCAAGGAACTGCGTCTAAAACACAGGCAGACACAGGCTGCCTACCTGCTCAACAACCAGCCTTCTACAACTCTCTGGGAAAGTGAGAATTATTCACAAAGTTCTTTAGTCCTTCAAGGCAGGGAAGAGGAAAAGCAGTTTTGAAAACTTAGCACAGAAGAATGTAGCACAGCTTACCTCCATTTGACAGCGCGTTGCAGATGCCTCCATTCTGACACGGGCTGCTTGAACAACCTTCTGTGGCAGTCAGTAAGCATCCAGGAGTCACATCTACAGATTCTTCCATGTGTGCATAATTTCGTGGCTTACTGTTTAGGGGCAGCTCTTGGCCATTAAGTACAACAGAATCCATACAGCCTCTGAAACCATTGCTAACCTGAGGACTTCTACCGTGTCTTGCACCTTGCTGCCGAATATGGCCACCAAAAAACACATGATTATCTAGGTTTAGTGTCCTGAGCGTTCCAGGAGCAGTACCAGATGCAGTATGCACCCGATCCAGAACAAGTCGCGCGTAATTTCCGTCCACTTCGAGAGATACTGAATGCCACTGGCCATCGTTAATCTGAATACTCTGAACGGAGACAATCCCAGGTCCGCTGCCACAATCAAATTTATACTGCAGCCTTCCATGGTGAATCTGCGGAGCAAGGCCACAACATCAACAAATGGTCTGCAGGCTTGAAGAGTATAAAATACTGATGCCTATAAAAGTTTATGTTTGCTGAAGAGACAGGATGATGGTGGTGTTCATAAAAGGTAGTTTAATAACACTGTATTCCGAACAGTCACCGTGGTTGTGACTCATTCTATATGGTTCTTTTAATTAAAATGCATAATTTGTACACTTTTTCCTCCTGTAAAGAAGTCACGGATCAGCATAAAAAGATTACAATACTTCAAGACCTTTTATCTCGTGCTTTAAGTGACTTTTTGTGTATGGACTTAATGAGTCTTATGAGCAAATAAATTTGAATTCATTATTTAAAATCAGTAATTCATCATTGTGTAGACTTTCTTTGGTTTTTTGGTCTTATTTTTAAAACATTAAAGAACACTATTTCATTTTACGTTAAAAAAAAACATATGTCGCTTGGATGTATAAAACACTCTACCTTGAAGGTAATTCTCAATTACAACAGTTCTTCAGAGATCTTTTCATTTGGCACAAAATACAGTAAGAAGGTGGTAAGAAGAAAAGAGAAAGAGATATGCACTAGGAGATTTTAATATACCTCTAAGATACTGTAGTCTGTTCCTCGAGCATACATAACAACTGCATGAGCAGAGTAAGTTCTAAGTCTCATTGTCAGCTTCATTTCCTCTTTGTTCTCGCTTTCCATGAGACGATATTTCACATAGCTGCTCCCAGTAAATGTGACAGCAGAGCCAGCTGATGCTTAGGAATACAGGAAAGCATAAAATGAGGTTAACACAGGACTAGAATCAAATTTGTGTTAGGAAAGTAATATGGTTTTAAGCAGATTTTTTTTTGAGAGAGAATTAATTTCTTACCAGGGCACTGTCCAGCTTTGCTCTCTTGGCAAACACAGGTGTATTTTCCTTCCTTTGGATCTCCTAAACATTCACTACCTTCAGGGCATGGGTTTCCTTCACACACACTATTCACCAGGGGGCATTTCCCTTCTGTAAATCAAAATACATTATTTCTCTTCTGTTGGTGGTAATGATGTTTTCTGAAAAGGAACACTTAACTACAGTAGCTGAAAGCAACCCAAATGATGTTCCTAACTATCAGACAAGGAAGTGAAGTAACAGTTATGAGACAACACTGGCCCAAACACAGACTAGATGGCATATATAGTGGCTGATGTTCTTAGTTATCTTGATTACTCAATTAAATTGGTAAAATTTGGAAAGTGTTTTTGCAGTTTGTGGTTTATGGTTTCCCATTACTATCACACACCATTAAAAAAAAAAGTAGATATTCAACATGGACAGAGTGGGTTGGGGAGAGCAGAAGAGTGTGTCTGTGTTTCAGACGGAAAAGGAACGAGCTTTAAATTTTTACTTAAGATGTGCAAGTTCACTTAGCAATATTAAGTCATGATTTTTAAAAGTAATGTTTTTTTCCTCAGAGCTAAAACCAAATGAATCTTCTGTTATAAATCTGTATACTTATATGTAACTTAATATTAATTTCCCAGTTCACCCTATCATTTCCAGCCAAGTATGGAAGCCATTTGGGCTATTCCTCTAAGCAGAAACCAGGAAGTATCCAGGTACTTTGCAAGAACTTACCTTCATGCATACAAGACTGAAAATGGTTGGGAATTTAAAACAGGCAACAAAAAAAGGAACTTCTTTCATAAGATGGAAAATGAAGGTGCAACTATATAAAAATAAAAAAAATCCCCCCCCTAAGCTTATATTATGTAAACTATTACAAGTGAGATAATGAGACAAGAAGGAATTACTCCTTACTCTGAGTAAGATTAGGCAGTGAGGGTTACAGGACATTCTTAATCTTGTCCTGTAATATAAATTTTCCCCTGTGGATTATGGCTGTTCAAAATGAGAACAATCTTTTCCAAGGATACAGTTTTCCTTACTGCTTTTCTTACCTTTACAAAGACAAACTGCTGTCCTATGATGACGGGGAGTGACAAAACTCAACCTGGCTGTGCTGTGGGTTGACATGATGTTCTCATCCACTGTTACTTTTTCTTCACAAAATTTCAAAGGGCAATCCAGGCCTGCGCAAAGCTTATGGAAAACATCAATTATCCGGACACCTAAAATCTCCTCTAGGTCAGGCACAGTTGAGTTTATCTTGTGGAGCAGAACTCTCATTGGGTGCTGAGAGTTACCAGACTTTTCAATATTCAGGAGGACATCAAGATTTGAAGGAGGATCAGAAGGCTGCAAACTAACAATCTGGATGTCATTTCTCCTCACACCCAAGATGTTTCTTAAAGCTCTCTGGAAATTGCGCCAGTAGTCGCCGATGAATTCTTCGGGGGCAAGGTTTGCAAAGCGTATTGCAATGCTGTGATTCAGTAAATCTTGAGTGATTTGTCTGATGTGTACAGTAATGTCAGCTGCGGTTGTAAATTTCCCATCTGTAACGGTGACGTTTAGGAGGTACTGTCCTACGTCTAACTTTTTATGTGCAATTAGTTTGCCGCCAGTACTGGACACAGAGAACAAGGATTCCATTTTGGGGTCGAGGCTGTACGTCAAAGTATCATAAACATCTTGATCGGTTGCATGAATTTTTCCAATGACACCACCTGAATATTCTTCCCCAAAGGCTGTGATAAAGATTTCTAGAGGCAGAATTGCTGGAGAATAAATGCTTTCCTCAATAACTCCAATATCAATGTAAGTCAAAGATGACAACGGAGGTTTTCCATTATCTGCCACCTAAAGGAAGATGAGGATAGAGTTAGATTTTTGCCTTATTCCCAATTCTACTGTAGATATTTGTATTGTGTACACTAGACTTGTATCTTTCTAAATAAAAAAATCCCTACAGGAAAATGCTTTATGAAAATTTCATAACACAGGTCCTGACATAAAAGGTAATACTGAAAATTTTAAAAGCTTATACAAGCAGGCACACGCAAACATGTTTTCACTTCTTCCAAGATTAAAAGGCTACAGTGCTCTTAATACCTGGAAATGCCAGGAAGCTACTAACACTTCTAGCAAATACGGAGGAAATGCACAGTAGCTGATTTCAAACAGCAGATGGTGCTTGAAGATTTTTATTTCAAGCATGGAAACACATTACAAACTTGAAATGAGTCATGCACTAGAAATTTACAACACGCTTCACCACAGTTATTAGGAGGTACTTCAAAAAGAAAACCAGACATGTAGAAAGTTACAATTAAATTATGTTTTCATTCATGATTTGTGATCATGGAGAGGAAGAAAAAAAACACGCACCTAGAGTGCTCTTCCCTTCAAACAACTAATTATCTTTAAGAGAATCAGCCTAATTCAATTTTAAGGCCCTTTAAACATGTCCCTTGTCCTCCACCCCTTTATGACAAAAGCATACATTGTCACTGTATGAAGAGGGGACAAAAAAGTGAGAAAAGAGCATTCCCCCTTGTGTTCTTTCTTTTTATTTCTCAAGTTCTTTTTTTCTCATCTACCTTTTTTCCCAGAGCTCTTTCCCAGTTACTGAAAGTGAGACTAAAGAAAGGGGCAAAGAAAAATTGGAGAGTTGTGGAGGGACAGAAGGGATACACAGGGCTCCGAGGTAGAAAATACCCTGCATTGTTCTGAAGACTTTACAGTAATTTTACAATGACTACAGGTCGTTGGTACACTTGGAAGATCTATTCAGAGAAGCTGCTTCTGATTTTTTTATACAAATTTAAGCAAAAGAGGGAAACCTCCAGGCACAAGATCATCCGTGGATGTGCACATAATAGTGGCATTTTTAAAAGGTAATGCATGTCTCGCAGAACTAAATGTCTCCACTTGTTAACTCCAAAAGACAGGCATGGCTAGAAACTTGCCCTCTAGTTACCCGAACATAAATAACGACAGAGAGCCAGCTCAAGTTGGCAAAGTTTTGTTTTGCCTAGATTTCTGCCTGGAAACAAGACAAAGGCGGCAGTTCAGCTACAAGAGAAATGCCCAAGGGAAGCAAGAAAGGGCTATAAAACAAACAGGCAAGCAAAATGATAACGAATGGACAGCAAGTAGGAAAGAAGAGCCCCAGGAGACATGATTTTGCAATAGTGCAGATATTTAAGAATCTGCTGTAGTTTTAAACTAAGGACTTCAGAGAGTGGCACAAAGGACTTGTATGACTCATAGCTGAAGATTTCACACACTAATGCTGCGAGACATTTGTTAATGGATAATCTATTTCCTTTGGAGAGAGGGAAAGCAAATGTGAGTGGCATGCACACATAGGTGGCTGTTGGGGAAAAAAAATATAATCCTTATTTCTATTAAAACCACAAAAGTAAAGCAAAAGAAAGGCTCTTGCTCAGTAAAGTTTTTTTGGTGGTAGTGGGTATGTGGGGTGTGTATGGGAGATTTTTTTGGTGGTGACTGTTTTTTTTGTTTTGTTTTGTTTTTTTTTTCCAAATTAAAATATGTCTGTAACATAAGGAGACCTCTGCCTCAGCAATGTATTCAGAAAGCAACTACAGTGAAAGCTGTCACTACTGAAAAGCACAGCAGTGAAGGTCAGTTAAAAAACTAAACGAGTATCAAGAGATCATACACAGCCATTGACTTGTGAGCTGCAAGATGAAAGTGCAGAAATGGAAGACAGTGTAAACTTGAGAAGATGTCTTCCTACAGTCTTTGAAAAATCTTTCTTTTAAATGAACAGGGGAAGAATATTTTCCCACAAAAGTCATGTATCTATTTTTGTGTATCACTGGAACAGAAGTCTTGTGATACAGAAATGTTAGTTTTAGACTTAGATGCCTTCATACTCATGTATAGTGACTCACTAAGGAGAAGATAATAGCAAATTATAGGACTTTGTCTATTTAAAAAAACCAAACTATCATACTATAAAATGACAAAAGGCAAATAAAAGACAGTGACATATTTCCAGAATCCACGCAGAGAACTTGTAAATCAAGGGATTAGACAGTTACAAAATACTGAGATTGGGTAGTACAGCACACACAAAATGCACATTAGTATAGTCTGCTTTAATGATTCACAATCTCTGAGAAGCCTTTGTTCTAAATGAGTACATTTGTTTTAACACACTTGTTTAGCTGCTGGATACCGTTAAAATAGCCCTTATTCATTCCCTAGAAAAAAGGCACTTTTCAAGTGCTGTGCTAAAGAGAAGATAGCTGGAGTACTGACAGGCTGTTTACAAGCATCCTGCAGCCTAGGAAGTGGCTTGGAAATGAAAGAATTGCAGGATTCCAGCCAGAGGAAGGTGTTAGATAGGTGTCTCACACTTAAGCAAAGGCAGGCACATTAGGAAGGGCCAAAGGTGCAGCTAAATCATGAAACGTGACAAAGACGGTGTAACAGTCTAACAGAACAGACTTAATTGCCTGTGCATGCGTTCATAGGGATATATTTTAGAAGCAAAATACATAGACATTAGTTACTGCTTAGAGAAAACATAAAATAAACCATATGAATCTTCTATTACCCTGACTGCATGTACAGGAAAAATATTGCTGGTTCTTCTTTCCTCAACAAAAATGTGACTTTGGGGAAGCGGTATGGAACTGTGTGACAAAGCCCAGCTCTACTGCTGTTTCGGACTCATGCAGCCTAGCAAGGCCAACAGAGCCACCAATTAGGTACCCTGAAGGCTAACCTGTCCCACCACTAATTAGCAGATCACTACGGAGACAAAAATGCCTAACAGAGGAATGGTACACCTCGCTGTCCCCATTTATTCTCAATTCTTAAACCCTAAACTAAACTACATTTTAATGGAACCTTTATCTATGCTGGTTCTTATAGTGATGGCTCCTGATAATGTGTTTTAGTGACTCAACCAGCAAATGACAGTACCTGTGGGAATTTTTCTTCCTTCCCCAGAGAAGGGAGATAGACTTTGTGTAAATACATAACATACAGACAGTACTGCTCTAAAACTCTGCAAGTGCACGTTTACTCAGAAATTGTCTGAAATAGTGTGTATGAGAATAATTTGAAGATTGAAAGAAATTCTTCATGTAAAAATAAAGGTAAGAATTTTTCTTAAAATACAAATCTGGAAATTAAGTTTAAGAATTAAGGACAGCTACTTTTAGCCTACGAATTTAAAGTCCCCTGTCCATAGCTGTTTGATTTATAACTGAATTAAAAAAGACTGGATAAGATTTAAAAAACTAGCTTGAACTTTTCTTACATTAGGTTACAAAAAAAGTATTTTAGAGAACTTAACTATGTTAATGTAAGTGGGATTTTTGTACATGGTCTGGTCTTCTTGCACAGCAATGGCAAACGTAGGCATATATTATAGCATTTCAGGGTCATTTTTGAGTATTATGCCATGCATTCCACTGCAAGATTCTGAGATCTCCAAGTACAGCACTGCAAGTTTCAATGCTACAACAAAGGTCCACTGATCTGGTTTTCCAAATTTAAAAAAAGATGTTTGCAAGTAATATTGGAAAAGAGTGTGGCAGTACAGAAAAATATTTTAGTACTGTCATGAAGTGCAACTTTCAATATTCCCGTTTCCATCATATCGGTGTAGTCTAGCTCACAGCTTCAAGGCTCAAAGCAAGTGGCAAGAAGCAATAGTAGGTAGTTCAAGGGACCTTTCCCCTGCTGGCTTTCCCAGCATCCTGCATGAAAGGCAAAAGGCTTATCAAGACCCAGCTAAAATTTCACTTACACCTTACCCTTACTGTGAGTTTAATTAGTGTTACACCTCTGTAGATTACCATTTAAACCAACAGACGTTGTCTCCGAAGACGTCACCTCAAGGGACATGCCTCAAGTGACTACTTGGCATGTCAAGACCTTGTAACAGAAAGGCAAGGAGTAGGCAGGAAAAAGTGGTGGATTGGGTATGAGTGGGAAAAGTTAAGTAAATACTTACACTAATAACACAAAACAGCTAGAGGTAGCATATCCTACCTTAACATGAAGTAAATAGTGATCCTTCACTTTGCGATTCAGTGCAGCAGTTGTTGTCAGTACTCCCTGCTGGTTAATCTGAAAAGCATTCTCTTCATTTCCACTCAAGATGGTGAAGAGAAAAGGAGGGCCATTGTGAGAAGAATCCTTGTCTGTCACCACAAGCTGTAGCACGCTAAATCCAACAGGCTTATTTTCCTATAAATGCATGATACAATTACATTGGTTTTGTTATAACTGAGGATACAGCCTGACGTTGATTTCTTTTTCACAGATGAAGAAAAATAATCAAATTACTGCTAATGAGGTAATCAGTATAAAAGTAATCAAAATGACAATATTGTTTAAAGAAAAATACTACTCTCTGAGAATAACAATGGAAACAATGAAAGGAGAAAAGCAGTAAACTCTGGGTTTTTTAAACTTTGTCTTACATTTCAAGTTTCAAGCTGCTCAGCCTTGAAACTTTAAATTTTCCACTTTTGGTTTGAATTAAGATTACTGTAGATTAATTACCAAGTCATCAAAGACTTCAAATTTAGCTAAAACACATGTTAAGAATAACCCAACGCCTCTTTGGGATGACTAGAAAAACACACTCCTCCATCTGACCCCTCGTGTCCCTAATTAGTGTTCTGACTACAGTTATGGCTGCTACTGCCACAGGCCAGTGAAAATAATGAAATCCAGATTTTGGAATTCGCATCATAAAATCCCTTCAGGTTTGCATCACATGGATGCTTGAGGTTTCACAGACACTTCATATGGTATCTGATACAGACACACCACCTTATCTAACACTTGAAACAGCTCTCCCAGAACAATTGTGCTACACTGTACTGACAAGAATTTTTACATGTATACACATTGTAAATGCAAAAAAAAAAAAAAAAA